TACCCTCTAGGTCAGGGGTGGGCAAACTTTTTGACTCAAGGGCGACAATGGGTTCTTAAACTGGACCGGAGGGCCGGAACAAAAGCATGGATGGAGTGTTTGTGTGAACTAATATAAATTCAAAGTAAACATCATTACATAAAAGGGTACGGTCTTTTTTTTTTAGTTTTATTCATTTCAAACGGGCCGGATCCGGCCCGCGGGCCGTAGTTTGCCCACGGCTGACCTAGACCCAGCTTATTCTCTTTGTCTGTCTTTTCTACATCCTTTGCCGCCCCCACCTCAGGCTCACTGAACCCTTGGCTGTGCTGGCACGGCACACAAACTTAAATAAATTGCCAAGAGGACAACCAACCAAAACAAAACACAATGGGCTGTCACTTTGTCACCTCTGGCTTATAACACTTCCAAATCAGGGTGGCCTGCTCCAATGGTTTAAGAACAATTAGGAGTTAACTTTTTGCACTTTGACCCATACGGACACATCTCCTTCTTTCAGAGAACTTGAACTGGGGCTGGGTGGGTGGGGTAGCATCATTTTCAAGTTAATTTACCATTACAGTGAATTGTCTTGCTCCAGCCTGCTATTCTTTCAATTCTTCTCATTTGTGTATGTGTTACCCAAAGGGCCACATATTACCTGTCTGGGGTGGCCAGACTCTCCCAATAGCATCTTGATTCACCACCTTTAGATATACTAGGCCAACCAGGAAATAAATCTTATCATTTTACCACTGAAAATTACCATTAGCCTCTCTCAGGGAGGTAGTCTCACCAATGTAAAAATGAAAGGGAATTTGGCTTAGAGGGTGTCAAGTGACCGGAACGCTGATGGAACAGCAGCCTCCAGTCAGTTGCTGTGAATTGGCCATGAGCACAGTGTAGCCTGTTCCTTTGTGGTCCCGTGATAGTATTTTTCTTGTCATTGCCAACCTACCTGGTTCTGAAAGGTTCTCACACTGAGACAGGTTCATTACTGAGGGATGATCTGACCATCTACAGAGGAAACCATTCCTGGCAGCAAAGGTAGTTGGTTACAAGGAGTTGGAGCATGTTCTTATTGTAAGATCTGATCTTCACTATCTGACCTTCTGTTTGCTTATTTCTTACTTCTCATGGCACACATAGCCTTTCCACCTCCCATTCCTGCTCCAAACATGCATACATGCTAGAATATAACTCTACCAAGGCAGGGACACCAAAGTGTCTTGTCCTCTGTACTGTAGAGAGCAGTCATTGGCACATGGCAGGTGCTCAGTAAATACTGGCTGAATGCTGTGAATTGGTTAAGAGTTTTATTTATGTAACTCGGGCTCTTACTTCAAGGTAGGATGGAGCTAGAGGCCTCATTGACATTCCCTCTGCGTGAAGAGTCTGTGAGTCTGAATGTTGAGAATCCCACAGGGCCCTGTCAGTCTGAGCCAGCAGCTGCTTTGCAGAAGGGAGAAAGTGAAGTTACCAGGCAGATGGGGCGGGGGAGGGGCGGCGAGCTGGGTGAGGAAGAATCTCAGAAGATGAAGGGAGTCAGTGCTAATGGGGTTTGACAGGGTGGGAGTGTGGAAGGGTCAGGGCCTTGACGATGCCTTTGTCCCCAGGACAAAGCGGGTAGTGATGCAGAGTGCAGGGAAGGGCGGCACTTGATTCACCAGAAGAGCAGTCAGTGCAGCATGGTGTGGCTGCCCTGAGGCGAGGTGGTTCCATCAGGGGCCAGAGTTGAAATCGGGAAACAAAAAGCCTCTGAGCAGCAGGACTACCGCTGGGCCGTCAAGCCTTATGGGGTTAGACTCTCAAACCCTGGCAAGGTCAGAGGCAGAGGAGACATGCCTCTTTATTTTTAACAAAAGACCTCTTAGAGAGACCCCATCTCTCTTCACCACGGGCTCTCTTTGGACTGTGGAAAATACTTTCTGATTGCTCATGCTACAACTTCCTTGCTGCTCAGGACTCGCTCCTGTCATCCTCGGCAGTCAACACTGGCTTGAAGCCAGTCCAGCCAGCTTTTCACTGGAGGACCACAGAGCCCCTCTCTCAGTTCACTCTGCCACCACACAGGGGCTGTGGTGCAGCCAGGCGCACACTGACCTGCCCATGCAGAGCTCCATGAAGCCATAGGTGCAACCCAGTCACAAACCACACAAAATTATCATCTATCTATATATATAAAAGGCCAATATGCAAAGTGTCCCCTGGGGAGTTCGACCGGGAGACCAGGAGTTCGATCACTCGCTATGACGCGTGCTGACCATCAGGGGGCAGTGCAGAATGAAGGAAGGCCCTGGCCGACAGCCGGAAGGCCCCCATCGGCCCTGATTGCCAGCCAGGCATAGGGACCCTACCTGTGCATGAATTTCGTGCACTGGGCCTCTAGTATCTTCATAAATTATTCTTAAAAGAAACTTCAAGTGTTCCTTGTGAAGAAAGAAAGCCTGGAATTTTCTGGAATAAAAGAAATTCCTCAGAACCAAGTCAATATTTCTCTTCCTGTTAAAAAAATTTCTTTTGTTGTTGGGATTAAAGCACCAGGAATTAATTTTTCTGCAATAAAACTTTGAACTTTACTATATAAATTTAATTCTTTGTTGTGGAGGTGACAGTGTCATTCTTAAAAATTTGGTCATAACCACATACCTGACTTAATAGTAGATGTGATTCCTAGGTAAACTCTCTAGCAAATGGAAAGAGGAAGAGCTTTCTTCCCTTTGGTAATGAGTGTAGATTGGAATCTGTCAGCAACAAAGATTGAGGGGCAAGTGTGTCTTAAAGGAGGTGGGAGAAGGCAGGGGATGGAGGAAGAGGAAGGAAGATGTCTGATTGCACTCTCAATCATTTCCAGTTTGCTTTGTGAAAAGGTGCTGGGCCCAACCAAGGAATAATGGTATTTGTTTGCTTTTACACGCTTTTAATGCCCAGCAGAGGAAAATACATCACTCTGATAACAGACTTAGAAATAGCATCCTGCCTGGATTGTTAAGACCACAGCACCTGGCACAAACCCTGGATCTGCCAACTTCTTAGGCAAAGTCTCACCAGGTGTGATCTCACTCTGGCGGGTTGACTGAGCCATGCCAGATGAACACTAAGAAGGAGAATCTGAATAATGAATCCCTAGGACTGGGCACCCAAACACGGATGAGAAATTTCCCCCATCCTCAGCAGGCTCGCTCCCCTGCATAAGGAATGAGCTGGAGGATAGGTTCTCAAACACACACCTACAGACGCGTTCTTGCAGCAAGCATGCACCCTTCAAGGACTCATGGGTTTACGCTGAAATGGATCAGATCTCGAATCTGGTAAAGGTTGCTTCTTCCTTTCATTCCTGAGGGGAAGATGAGGTGGAGATGGGCTCGAGTTAATTTTTAAATCATTTCCTTGCGTCTGCGGATAACTGCACCGGGGCCCTCCTCCCCGCACCGCTACTACCCTCCCCGGGGTCCCTTCCGGAGGATGACAGGATCTGGAAGCGGATTTCTTCCCCTCAGCTGGGCCAGCCCCTTCTCTTCCCAGCCAGCCGCACACAGCATCTGGGGCCACGCCGCAGCCTCTCTTTGCCCAGATGCCCTGGAGATTTAATTTTAATTAACCGTGAGAGCTATAGCACTGAGGATTGCATTTTTCAAAATACAGCACACTCCCGCCTTTTGTCTGCTTCCCTTCTGCCATCCACCCCCAACACCTCCCATAGCATCGAAATAAAAAACAAACAAACACAAACGAGATGTCTCACCTACACCTGCCAGGGGCAGAGACAGGCAGAGGACGCGGCGCTCGGGAAGCCGCCGCCGGGGAGCGGTCCTTCCGCAGCTGCGGCAGCGGGCGGGGCGGGGCGGGGCCCTGGCGGTCACGTGGGCTCTTAGCCCTGCCCACGTCCAAGGTCCAGGGGACTCATCAACCCGAATTGGCCTTCCCTGGAAGCACTCAGACGCTCCGCAGTCAAGGGGATGTGGGCTAAGGGCAAGAGCTGCCTGGCGGCCGGCTTGCTGCAGAATCAAGTGGCTATCGTCACCGGCGGGGGCACGGGCATCGGAAAGGCCATCGCGACCGAGCTCCTGAAGTTGGGTACGTGAGTAGGCCCCGGCGTCGAGACCCGGAGCGAGGGGTCGGGACCCGGAGCACGGGGTCCGTGGAGACGCCGGCTGGCATACCCTGGGGCCGGTGGCCAGGGGGCGCTAGGCCGGGTTGCGAAATTGAAACTGCTCTGGGCCCCAAGTAGGGAATAAGGAGACCTGTGGAAACATGCTATGGAATTAGTCATGGAAAACGAATCCTTCTCTATAGACTGCCTCATGAGGGGTTAGGACACAGGAGGACTTCAGTTAACTGGAAAAGTTTGCAACATGGAGAGGCTCCCATCATATGAGCTTTCATAACATTTACTGTAATGAGTGAAGGGAGGACTTTGTCGGGTTTTTATTTTATTTTTTTATTTTATATTTTTGCTAATCTTCACTCAAGGAAATTTTTCGCCCTTGGAAATGTTAGGAAGAGTGGAAGGGAGGGGGAGAGACAGAGAAACATCGAGGTGAGAGAGACACATCGAGTGTTGCCTCCTGCAGGAGCCCCACCAGGGCTGGGGATCGAGCCTGCAACAGAGATAGGTGCCCTTGGCTGGGATGGAACCTGGGACCCTTCAGTCCACTGGTGGAAGCTCTATTCACTGACCCAGACGGCTAGGGCTGAAGGGAGGACTCTGTCAGCACATGAACAAGGAAGGGAAACCACGAAGGAGAAAATTGATAAATTTATCCACATGAAAATGTAAATTGTCATTAAACTAAAAAACAGTGTAAGGAAATATTAAAGGCACATGAAGAAAAATGTTTACAATATACAACAAATGTATGATAGAAAGAGCTCTCACAAATACATAAGGAAAAGATTGAACACACTGCTAGAAAAATTGGCTGATGATATGGACCAGGTGAACCAAATGGAGCAGCCAGGGGCAAACTACAGCCCGCGGGCCGGATCCGGCCTGTTTGAAATGAATAAAACTAAAAAAAAAAAAGACCGTACCCTTTTATGTAATGATGTTTACTTTGAATTTATATTAGTTCACACAAACACTCCATCCATGCTTTTGTTCCGGCCCTCCGGTCCAGTTTAAGAACCCATTGTGCCCCTCGAGTCAAAAAGTTTGCCCACCCCTGAAATGGAGGCAGGATAGGGGGAAGCCACCACACAGGGGCACAGGGGCTGTGGTGCAGCCAGGGGCACACTGACCCGCCCAGGCAGAGCTCCATGAAGCCATGGGTGCAACCCAGTCACAAACCACATGAAATTATATCTTCATAAAATTATCCTTAAACTTCAAGTGTTCCTTGTGAAGAAAGAGAGTCTGGAATTTTCTGGAATAAAAGAAACTCAGAACTGAGTCAATATTTCCCTGGCCAGTAGAATGGGGAAACTGACAGATAGCTGAACAAACCGGCTGAGCAATTCACAGCCAGATACGGAAAGTCACCTCCTTAGAGATAACATCTAGGCCTCAGTTGTATTGCAGCTCCAGGCCCAGAAAAGCAGCAAAACCAGGTGGGCAATGCCAAGACCAGGAGCAATGACTGAGGACCCCCTGCCCTGGCACTGACCAATCAGTAGAGACCATGACCCTAAAAGAACACACCTGGAAAACTGATGAATATTCTGCTGAAACCCTCCCCTGAGGCCTCCCCTATGACTCTGGCCAGAAAGAGAGATAAAAGCCTCAAGACAACCCTAGCTGGTTTGGCTCAGTGGATAGAGCACATGGGCCCTGGTCGGGGTGCATGCAGGAGGCAACCAATTGATGTGTCTCTCTCACATCGATGTTTCTCTATCTCTGTCTCTTTACCTCCCTTCCATTCTCTCTAAAAATCAATGGAAAAATATTCTCAGGTGAGGATTAATTTTTTAAAAAAAGGACCCAGAGGGAGCTCTCCCTCAGAGGAGCATGTCCATGCCATTCCCTTCCTTCTCCTCTTCCCCCATTTAAACTCTAAGTGACCCCAGGAGACTTGCAACCAGGGGAGCAATGGACAGTGGCAACACGTCCCAGGCTAACCCCCTGAACTTGTCTCCAAGGCCCCCTTTTCTCCTACTTGCCACTGAGCTAAGGCAGCCCAGCCTGGGCTCTCCTGCTGCTGCTTCGATCCTAAGTCCTTTCTTGTTTCACTGTTTCCAGCTTTAATAAACCTACCCTCGTAGTCACTTGGACTCATATTGTGAAATCTTTCCTCCCGAAGTCAAGAATTCACACACTACCAGCCCTGCCTGGGCAGACCCGCTCAGGGCCAGGTCCCAGTCCAGCCATGAAGAACTTTAAATAGGCAATAAGTACATGAGCAACAATCAACTTTATTGGCAATAAAATGCAAAATAAAGTCACATTGCTTTTCTAACAAAACTTTTAAACATTGAAGAAAAGAAAATGATGGAGTGAAAAAGCTGGCAAGGATGTAAATTATTAGAAGCTTCCTAAAGGGCAATTTGAAAAAAAGAATCCGGAAGCTTTAACAATATCTATGCTGTATGACCTGGTAACTTCTCTCTTAGGGATTTACCTTAAGAAAATTATCAGAGACAAGCACAGATTTATGTACAAGGAAGTAGTGGTGAGTAGGGAAACATTGGTAATAACAAATATTCATTATAAGAGAAATAGGTAAATCAAAAACAATGAAATACTATGTTGCTATTTAAACATCTTGCTATTGAAGACTTTATGTAGAGAAATGCATACCTTCTAATTGAAAAAAATAGCAGGATTCTAAACAAAATATAACATTTTGATTTGTTAATGAAAAATACAGTATATATGCCAAAAAAGACTGGAAGTTTACAGCATTGTTAACAGCAACTATTTTTTCTGGAAATAATTTGAATTATAGGGGATTAAAATGTCATCATTTTTTTTTAATCCTTGTCCAAGGATATGCTTATTGATTTTTTTTTTGGGGGGGGGGGGGGGGGGGGGGAGGGAGAGAGAGAAAGAGAGAGAAAAAGAGAAAAGCATCAATGTGGAAAACATTTGATTCCTAGTCAGGGAGTGTATGGGAGGCAACCAATGGATATTTCTCTGACATTGATATTTCTCTCTCTCTCTCTCTCTCTCTCTCTCTCTCTCCTCTCTCATCAATAAGGATGTCCTCTGGTGAGGATTAAAAAAAAACACATAAGAGTTGGAATACAAAAAGCAGGAGATGAAACTAACAAGTGGCTCAAATGTTCAGTTATTCAAATCAGCCAAGAACTCTAATACAGAGGAGCCTGAGTGAGGGGAGGTGACCTGTGGCTGATACTGTATTTATTTGAGGTAGCCTTCTTTGAATTGGATGCCTTGACAATCTTAAATTAGGCATTTACATTACAAAACAAAGAAACAAGCAAAAGCCCATGGGGTTTACACCAAGGCTATTACTAACACCAGGGAATTTGAAGATTGAAAGGAATCAGTGTCAGCCCAAGTAGGAAAGCAAATGCCTGATGTAGAAATAACTCCTTATCTACAAGTTAGTTCTGTATCTTATATCTAAACAAGTTTATCAAGCTTTCTGGATTTCTCTAGCTACTCATAAACAAACAAAAAATGTCTATTCAAATTATTTAGTGTAGGATTTGGAGAAGAATTATATCTAATACATTTCTAGTTTATTATAAGGTAATATAAGTACACTGTAATAAATTCAAGTAGTATTGAAGTATAGAAAAGAAGAAAATCAGTTTTCCCATTTTGCTCTTATTCTAAATCTCCTTCTTGGAGATTTTCTATGAGTCCACCCAAATGCCCACATATACACACACGTGTATATTATGTTACTTTCAAAACTGGGACCACAGTATTTCTACTGCTCTGTAACTGTTTTCATTCCAGACTAGTACATATGGTAGTATCTCATTTTTTTCCAAGTTATGTCATATTCCATAGAATGGGTGTTCAATAATTTATTTAACCATTCCTTTAATGGAAATTTGGATTTCTAGTGTTTTGCCCAGCATTGCATTTTTTTTTTCTTGTAATACCTTTGCACACTAGTTCAAGTTTTGATACCAAACCCAGGTTTGGCTGCCTGCTGCTTGAAAGCCAATACTCTAGAGACAGGCGCTGATGGAAGGAAAGCAGGTTTATTCAAGAGCCAGCACCTTGAGGAGGTGGGGGACTCTCATCACAAAGACCATCTTAGCATCTCAGTGCAGGCAGAGGTTTTTATGGGCAGGGAAGGGGAAGGCAGAACAAAGGTGACCAGAGGGGTTGTGGGGTCTCTTTGAAGGTGTTATGTGCCAATTGGCACAGTCTGCTCCAATAATGATTTTGGAGCCAGTCAAATGATCATCTGGAAGGTAAGCAAATCTGGAGCCAAAATGCCGGAAGCCTGGATTTAGCTTCCTTTGAGGTTAGTCCCTAGAATCTTTTAAGCGAACAGGCAGTTTATAAGTGGCCACCTGTGAATTTACAAGTCATCATTTAAAGAAACAATGTTAAAAGAATGGTGGGGTGGGTTACGGTTTGTGTGTAGTGACAAGCTCTATCAGTTAAAGTAAATAGTCTTTTAAAGTTGTGTTTCAGTAGAGCTCTACTTGTATTGCATAAGTTTGCTGAAGCATTCAGGGCTCAGGTAATAGTATTAATTTAGAAAATGTTTGATTTGATAATTCATGTGAAAAATCCTACTTATATTTTCACTGTATGTCTTTTTTTGTTTATTTGTTTGTTTTTTGTTAATCCTCACTGGAGGATATTTTTCCGTTGATTTTTAGGAAGAGTGGAAGAAAGAGGGAAATATAGAAACATCAATGTAAGAGAAACACATCGATTGGTTGCCTCCTGCACAAGGCCCCTACTAGGGCCCGGGCCAGGGAGGAGCCTGCAACCCAGGTACGTGCCCTTGACCAGAATTGAACCCATGACCCTTTGGTATGCAGGCCAACACTCTATCCACTGGGCCAAACCAGCTAGGGCTCACTGTATGTCTTTTTTGAGGCCTTGGACAAAGTCAGGCATTAATCACTTTAGTATCCTGAGTTGTTGTTTTGTTGCTGTTTTTTTTTTTTATTATTTTAAAGATGCTCAATTTCTTAATATGGATTTAGGAAGAGTTACAGATGTGTTTGTTTTTTCATCCTCACATAAGGATATGTTCATTGATTTGATAGCAATCCAGTTCCTGTTACTCCATCTTGACCAGAAGCAGAAGTCCCAATTCATCGTTTTTACGGGAACACATGAAATATTTGGTAAACATTATCATTTGTGGGATTTTGCCAACCAATGAAAGCATATTTACTTGTCCTTTGGTTGTTTTTTCCTCAGGTTGTAATGTGGTCATTTCATCCCGTAAGTTTGATGTATTAAAATCTACTGCAGACGAACTGAAGACCACCCTGTCTCTCACCCACCAGTCTCAAGTCACCCCCATAAAATGCAACATCCGTAAGGAAGAGGAGGTACTGCAACTATGTCCATGTCATTTGTTCATTTTTAATCTATAGCAGTGGTTCCTAAACTTGACTGTGCTTCAGGTTTTCTTATGTTACCTGACTCAGATGAGGTTCAGGAGAAGCAGAGCCTGTGAGGTTCTTCACTAATGATCTATTGAGTAAGTTGCCTCAGGAGAAGGAGAGAGGAAGGGAAGCAAAATTATACATGTAGCTTTATGATCTTTGGACATTGTGGTGAGAGATTGTAAACTCTCCTGGAGCAAACCATCCATCCAAGTAGCAACTTAGGTCATTAACCGGTTTACTTTTAATGTTTTTCTTTAGGTAAATAATTTGGTCAAATCCACCTTAGATATTTATGGTAAGATCAATTTCTTGGTAAACAATGGAGGAGGCCAGTTCACGTCTCCTGCTGACCACATCAGTGCAAAGGGATGGCACGCGGTGATTGAAACCAACCTGACGGGCACCTTCTATATGTGCAAAGCAGGCAAGTGTGATCACTGACCCCAAAATTCAAGGTGTCTTTGTTTAAATATCAGAGAATCCTGAAAGAGAAGCTGTTAGGGGCTCAGAAAGCTCCAGTTATCAACATTTACTGCCCTGATTTGCTCACAGGATTGTAAATTGCTACATTTCTGGCTAGTAATTTGGCAGTATTTATAAAATATGGATATCTTTTGATCTTTCTTATAATTTTATTTTTAGGAATTTACCATGAGAAAATTATTAAGGATCTGTACAAAGAGATAACTAAAAGTTGTTTATAAAATTTAAGAAAACTCTCACTCTTACTTTGTTTTTAAGAAATAAATCTGTTATAAGGACCTGTTAATTCAGTAAGGTCCTTGGGGAGAATACCAGACAGAGTCCACATTCTTTTGACTAACTATTAATTAGCACAGCATTGTCTTTGGATTACAGGTTATGTTTCAATCATTAAAATGTCCATACTACCCAAGCAATCTGTAGATTTAATGTAATTTCTATCAAAATACCAATGGCATATTTCACAGAACTATAATCTAAAAGTTATATGAACCCACAAAAGATCCCTAATGGACACAGTGATCTTGAGAAAAAGAGAGCAAAGTTGGAGGTTTTACACTGCCTGATATCAAACTATACTATAAGTTTATAGTAATCAAAACAGCATGGTACTAGTATAAAAAGAGACACATAGATCAATGGAACAGAATAGAGAGACCATAAATAAACCCATACCTATATGGACAGTTAGTATATGACAAAGGAGGCAGGAACATACCATGGGGTAAAGATAGTCTATACAATAAATTATGTTGGGAAAATTGGACAGATACAAGCAAAAAAATGAAACTAGATCACCTTTTTACACCATATACAAGATAAACTCTTAAGTGGATTAAAGACTTATATGTATGGCTCAAAACCATAAAACTCGTAGAATTAAACATAGGCAGTAAAATCTCTGACATTTCTCTTAGCCATATTTTTTTCTGATATATCCTCTTGGGTAAGGGAAACAAAGAAAAAATAAACAAGGTATATATGGAAATGCAAAGGACCCAGAATAACCAAAACAATTTTACAAAAGAAGAAATTTGGAGGACTTATATTTCTTGATTTCAAAACACCATGGTACTGGCATAAGGGTAGATGTATAGATAAGTGGAAAAGAATTGAGAGTCCAGAAATAAAACTTTAAATTTGTGGTCAATTGATTTTTGTTAAAGGTGCCAACAATTCTATGGGGAAATGATAGTCTTTTCAACAAATGGTACTGGGACAGTTGGATCTCCACATACAAAAAGACCCTTACCTCATACTATAAATAAAAGTTAACTAATAGTCCAAAATGGATCATGGAAAAAGTAAAATTATGAAACTTTTAGAAGAAAACAAAGTAGAAAATCTTTCTGACCTTAGGTTAGGCAAAGAGTCCTAGGAACCACCACCAAAATACCCATATATCCATAAAATATAAAATTGATAAACTAGACTTGAAATTAAAAATGTTTATGCTTCAAAAGACACCATTAAGAATGTGAAAAGAGCCCTGACTGGTTTGGCTCAGTGGATAGAGCGTCGGTCTGTGGACTGAAGGGTCCCAGGTTCGATTCCAGTCAAGGGCATGTACCTTGGTTGCGGGCACATCCCCAGTAGGGGGTGTGCAGGAGGCAGCTGATCGATGTTTCTCTCTCATCGATGTTTCTAACTCTCTATTTCTCTCCCTTCCTCTCTGTAAAAAAATCAATAAAAAAAAAAAGAATGTGAAAAGATAAGCCAAAGACTGGGAGAAAATTTTCCAAATCACATATCTGATAAAAAACTTGTATCCAGAATATATGAAGAACTTTTATAATTCAATAATAAGAAAGCACCCCAATTAAAAAGTGGAAAAAAAGATTGGAGTAGATATTTCACCAAAAAATATATGAAAAGCTAATAAGCGCATTAGAAGATGCTCAGCACCATTGGTCACTAAGGACATGGAAATCAAAACCTCAGTGAGATACCACCTCATTTCCATTAGAAAGGCTGTAATCAACAAGTCAGACAATGATAGTGTGGAGGAACTGGAGTCCTCATGCATTTCTGGTAGGAATATAAAATAGTGGAGACACTGAAAAAGTTTGGCAGTTCCCTTAAAAGCTAAGCGTAGAGTTACCATATGAATGCGATTTTACCCTTAACCTGAGAGGAACAAAAGCATGTGCCTACATAAAGACGTGTTCATAATCACCCCAAAGTGGAAACAATTCAAATGTTCATCAACTGGTGAATGGATAAATAAAATATGGCATATCCATACAATGGAATACTATTCAACAATAAAAAGGAACTATTGATATGTGTTACAACATGGATGAACCTCACAAACATTATTCTAAGAAGCCAGACATAAAAGACCACATATTGTATGATTCCATTGATGTGAAATATTCAGAAGAGTCGAATCTACAGAAACAGAAAATGAATGAGTATTTGCCCGGGGATGAATTTGGCTGCAAATGGGCACAGAGGAACTTTTTGTTTTGGAGTGATGGAAATGTTCTAAAACTGTATTGTGTTGGTAGTTGCACAACTCTGCATATATTTTTTAAGCATTTAATGATTTTTAGAGAGAGAGGAAGGGAGAGGGAGAGAGAAAGAGGAACATCAATGTAAGAGTGGGACATCGATGGGCTGCCTCCTGCACACTCCCTACCAGGGATTGAGCCCGCAACCCGGGCATGTGCCTTGACCACTGTGGAACCAGCAGCTATTTGGTGCACAGGACAACACTCCAACCAACTAAGCCACACTGGCAGGGCAACTCTGTATATTTTTTAAAAATTATTAAATTGTACCCATAAAGTAGATGAATTTTATGATGTGTAAATTGTACCTCAGCCAGGCTTAAAAAAAACAGAAATATAAATATGAATTTAAAACATACCACAGAAGCAGCATGCTGGAACGGAACCAGAGAAGGGTTAGTACACTGTTTAATATGACTGTCATCTGTCTGTTTCCTTCAGTTTACAGCTCTTGGATGAGAGAGCATGGAGGATCCATTGTCAATATCACTATGCTTACTAAAAATGGATTTCCGGGATTTGCGTAAGCATTTATATATATTTTTTTTCCTATGTGTCAAAGGTTCAGAAATAGCCAAAGTAAAACAAACAAAAAAAAATCACTAAAATCGCAATCATTAAAAAATTTACTGTGCACACACCAAAAAGACTTGTAACAACCACACTTGTAACCCTCAAATTACCAATTTGTATTTCTTCATAATAAAAAAGTTTTCAATATTCCTCTTAAGTCCGTGTGAATTGGGGGGATCATATGTGGGCCTACACAATGAAATTTGTTTACCAATCAGACAGCTGTGGTTTGGCTCTAATATGGGAGGACCCAATTCTTTCCCATTGTTCAGACAGACTCAAACACAGTTTCATGACAAGAATGTTCTTGTGGGGTTCTGACAGGCCATTGACACACCTGTCAGTTCAGTTAATGAGAGAAATATTCAACAAAAGCTAACTATAGTGTTTATATTTTGTCTTTTAAAGGCATAGTGCAGCTGCCAGAGACGGTGTTTACAGCCTCACCAAAACCTTGGCTTTGGAATGGGCCAGCAGTGGAATAAGGATCAACTGTGTTGCCCCTGTAGGTAAATGTTCTATATGAACTAATTGTGCTCTTCTGATTCCATTTATGTTGTTAATAGAGGTATTTGTCACTGTATGTGTACTAGAAAAGATTGGCTTTTGAAAATGGATGTGTATATTCTTTGATTTACCAGTATTCTTTGATTAGATTGTTAAGGTTAAATTAAGCCAATGATTCTCAATCCTGGCTGTATATTAGAATGTTTAAAAAATAGTGGAATTATCTGTGGAATGTTTAAAAAATAGTGTTATATAAGCTTGGCTCCAAACTGTGGAATCCAAGCATCAGTATTTTTAAGAAACCTCCCAAGAAACTCAAATACACTGTGAAAGTTGAAAAATCGCTAGTTTAAAGAATGAATTTTTCTGGATTGTTTTGTTATTTCTTGGTTTATTATTAATCTTTTATTAAGAGAGAGTGAGAAACTTAAAGTCAAAGTTTTAGAAAGAAACTCCCAGTTAAAGATCAACTAGAAGTAAAGAGAAAATTTCTCTGAAACTAATGTAAGTGATGGGGGGGAAAAATCACAATATGTTCAACTTCAGAAACTATCATTTTTGTGCGAAGTAAGATATAGCTTAAGCCTCCTTGAGTATTACACGTTTAATGTACTGACACACTCATCCTGTAAAACTCAGCTCAAATGCACTTCTCTGTGATGTTTCCTGGTCATTGCTAAAATATAGGAATCGTTCCTCAATCTGAAACTCTGTAATATCTGTGGATATTATCTATAACTCTATCTTTAAACTACCTATAGATATTGTTATCCATGCTGCTCAGTGGGACTTAAGCATGAACTGACTTGTTGACGTTAGTAGAAAATCTCCTATTTAACAAATTGCAGGCTCCTCGCCAGAAACTTTATTTCCCTTTAGTCCTTCATAGCTGACCTTACCTTACTCAAATTACATGCAAATAATTTATAAAATAAATTAAATATTAGTTCCATTCTTAATGCAGCTACCTTGCATTACTGGCCTCCAAAAGTGCATTTCTTGAAAACCTTTAGTGGGTTGTTAGTATTATAAGCACCTTATTGAAGTCATGTTTTTCCTCCTGAGACATTTTTAGGTTTAAGGTCTAAAAGTTAATACTTCTAGAAGATGTCATCCTCTTTAAACAAAAGGTTGCAAATTGTTTAATGGGAAACCAGTATATCATCCCACTACCATGCAATTTCCTCATCTTTTACACTTCCTGTTTCCTCTCCTCCCTATAATCTCTGTTGTAGTTTTGAGTCAGTAACAAATAGATTTATCCTGCATTATACAGGTTTTGAGTACTTTTCTTGGCTTTATAAATCCATGAAAGCTATATAGAAGAATTCTTAAACAATTACATTTTTTGTTTATTTATATTAGATTCACATGCTTTATTTGTGATTTTACTTTAGGTCAGGGGTGGGCAAACTTTTTGACTCGAGGGTCACAATGGGTTCTTAAACTGGACCGGAGGGCCGGAACAAAAGCATGGATGGAGTGTTTGTGTGAACTAATATAAATTCAAAGTAAACATCATTACATAAAAGGGTACGGTCTTTTTTTTTTAAGTTTTATTCATTTCAAACGGGCCGGATTCGGCCCGCGGGCCGTAGTTTGCCCACGGCTGCTTTAGGTGAAAAAACCATGATAATATTGCATTTTCTAAGTCTAGCATAACCATAGCCCAGTCTTGTACTGTAAAACAGAGAAGCCCAGTGGAAGATAAAATAGACTCCCCTGTCTCATTGTTTGCCCAGTTAAAGAGCCCACTAATACTTAATTTTTGGTATTGGTTGATAGACTGTCTTTACAATTAAAATTTAATCTTATGTACTTTATTTTGTTCTTGTTTTATATCTAAACACAGGGAATCATTTATTCCCAGACTGCTTTTGACAACTATGGTGATTTGGCAAAAGACTTATTTGGAAGGTCCTATCAGAAAATTCCAGCTAAAAGACTTGGAGTTCCTGAGGAGGTAAGGTATATTTCTAACACTGATTAGAATGACTTTATTTCATACTTTGGAATTAGTAACATTTTGGTGTTTTTTTTTTACGTAGTGTGGTTGGCTGATAGAGATGATAGCTCCCACTGCCACCAAACCATTTCCCTAGACCTTCTGGATCTGGGGGAATATCCTGGTTGTGCTTTTGTAACTGGACAACCAAAGGGTCCGGGCTACCTGTCACTACTTGAGCCAATTAAACAGAGACAGGGTTGAGTCAGATATGCTGGCTTAACACTGATTAGAATGACTTTATTTCATACTTTGGAACTTAGTAACATTTTGGTGTGTTTTTTACGTAGTGTGGTTGGCTGATAGAGACGATAGCTCCCACTGCCACCAAACCATTTCCCTGGACTTTCTGGATCTGGGGGAATATCCTGGTTGTGCTTTTGTAACTGGACAACCAAGGTGTCAGGGCTACCTGTCACTACTTGAGCCAATTAAACAGAGACAGGGTTGAGTCAGATATGAGCTCCAATAATGCTGGCTGGATGGGAGTGCAGCAGGTCATCCACAAAAATCTGCTCTGACCCCCCTCACCAGTTGGCTGGTTATGTACACACTAGGGAGAAGATAGCTAGGTGTAGCTGCAAGCTACAAGTGTAACGTGGAAAGGGGAGGGTAGAATCTGCAGTCCGGCCTTCAGGAGCTCAAAGTCCGATCACAAGGTGGCTAATCTTCTATGATGTTACAAATAGCTCAGCCTGTTCCTGGGACCTGAGAATGGTCAGCGTTCCTGAGAAGAACTCCCAGAGAGAGTCAGGGTCCAGGCACAGCAACCAACAAAGCGTGTCCTGTCCTTGGTCTGTTCTCAAAATGTATTTCTTTTCAGAGTAATGGACCTATTGAGGCATCTTATCTTTTTGCAGCCTTGTTTCATCCTCCAGTTTCCCAGGATCTGTAAGAAAACTACTTATCTATAGTTAGTGAAGTGAATAATTATTAGACAACTGTCACTCTATTCTTATTACATGCCCTTCCCCACTATCACTTTGAATGTTCACAACAGTCTTTTTTTTTTTAAACATATATTTTTATTGATTTCAGAGAGGAAGGGAGAGGGAGAGAGAGATTACAAACATCAATGATGAGAGAGAATCACTAATGGGCTGCCTCCTGCACACCCTACACTAGGGATTGAGCTTACAACCTGGGCATGTGCCCTTGATCAGAATCAAACCTGGGACCTTTCAATCCACAGGCCGATGCTCTATCCACTGAGCCAAGTCGGCTAGAGTGCTCACAGCAGACTTTATTCAGGAGCAAATGCAGTGTGAATTAAGAAGAGCGTGTTTCATTGCACTTTTCCAGCTACGTTATTTTATCACATGACAGGACCCTAAGCAAGTCAGACTATTATGACTTTATGACATTCCATACGCAACTTTTGTAAGGTGGTCAGGTTTAAGTATGAAAAAATTAATAGCTTTCATAAATTTTAGCTATCTCAGTCTTAAAATGTAATGAAAAAAAAAGTTATCGTTTCCATAATAATAAAAATTAGAATACCTGGAGTCAACTTCAGTGCTCACAGCAGACTTTATTCAGGAGCAAATGCAGTGTGAATTAAGAAGAGCGTGTTTCATTGCACTTTTCCAGCTACGTTATTTTATCACGTGACAGGACCCTAAGCAAGTCAGACTATTATGACTATATGACATTCCATATGCAACTTTTGTAAGGTGGTCAGGTTTAAGTATGAAAAAATTAATAGCTTTCATAAATGTTAGCTATCTCAGTCTTAAAATGTAATGAAAAAAAGTTATCGTTTCCATAATAATAATAAAAATTAGAATACCTGGAGTCAACTTAGCTCTGAACAAAAACCATTTTATTACTAAAGACCAGAATAGAGACATGTCATCTTCCTCAATGGAGAGAATCAATGTTATTGAAATCAAGTTTTTCTAAATTAATGTATAAATTCAATATATTTTTGAAATTTAACACACTGATTCTGAAGTTTGTTTAGAAAAATATTTATGCAAAAAAAGCCAAAAATGTGTTGAAAAAGAATAATGGGAGGATTTGATCTTCCTGACATCAAAACATACTCTAATGCAATACTTATTTACAACATCTGGTGCTGGTACTGTAATAGATTAAAATTAGTGGAATATAATGGACTCTTGTATCAGTACCATGTATCTATGGGAGTTTGTAGGATAAAAGCAGCTTTTCAGATTTATGGGGAAAGAATAGATCATTCAGCAAAAGTTTTGCAGCAATGCGCTGTTCATTTAGAAATAAATTAGACCACCTCTCTCACATCACATATATGCAAAATAATTTTTAGATATATTGAAGTGCTAAATATAAAAGGAAAATCATAACATTCTTAAAGAAAATGTGTTTTAATTCTTAGAACTACCTTTCATTATCAGTTTGATGTATATATTTCCAGAAATTTACTGTGCACACACAAAAATATCCATATTTATAGACTTTTTTCTTTTTTAAACAAAAAGGGATCCTACTATGTTCTTTTCTTCAATTTGCTTTCAGTCCACAGGTTGACACTCAACCACTGAGTCACGCTGACTGGGCAGTAGTACTATTTTTAATGAAAAATAGCTACATTTTCAAAAACAAAAGAAAACATACAAATATCTTTAATGTATGGCTTACTAGAATACAGCTGGACTTTCATATCCGTCTCTGCATCCAATCTGTTGCAATACATTGTTTTGGTTAAAGCATATGGAGAAAATCTGGCTTCTTACACATGGGCAGTTGGAAACAGAGGCACATTTATTAATATTAGCATTTTCAGATAATTGTGAATATTCTTTACTATTCAAAAAGTGGAAGTTTTTATTTTATTATTTTTTTTAATTAAAAAATGTTTTTATTGATTTCGGAGAGGAAGGGAGAGGAGAAATAGAAACAGTGATTGACCACCTCCTGAACTCCCCCTACTGGAGATCAAGCCCACAACCTGTGTATGTGCCCTGACTGGGAATCACACGATGACCTTCTGGTTCATGGGTCGATGCTCAACCACTGACCCATACCGCCCTGGCAAAAAGTGTCAGTTTTTAAAGATTAGTTGCAGTGTGGAACCTGGAACCATGTCAGTGAACTTTTTGTGCTCTGTTACATTAAAATCTATTGATCTCTCTGACCCATAGATGATTTTGTAACATCAGACATTGATCTTTTGGAAAATCTTGGTTCCCTGAGTTATGCATATTTTCTAAATGTTGACACACAATTCTAAGTGTTGACGTACAATAACAAAATTCTAATTTTCACCTGAAAGCTCAAATCTTACCATTGATAACAGATACTGTCAGTCATTTCCCTTTGAAGTGACAGTCTCACTGTGTTCATTTTTGAAAAATGTCTGCCCAGTATCCAAGATCAGTAACTGCACTTCGCTCTTTCAAATAAAAAAAGGTGTTTCTTGGAAAATGTGACTCCTTCAGCTCGCAACTCAACTGCACATTCTTTTCCTTGAGGCAACCATTATACTCCTATGTGCAGCAGAGCTTAATGTGTCATTCCTCTTTCATCATGCAGGATATCAAAAAGGTGTAGGCTCAGTGGTCGAGATTAATAATTTTTCCTGCTTCACCAAGGACATTCTAACGTGAAACAGGCTGCCCCCCACCCCCAAAAAGTACTTGCCGGTGAAGGATATAATGACTACTGGTATAAGGATCACTAGGTCAGTGTTGTGTTCCTGCCATGACTCATGCTGAGGCTCCAGCACTCTTTCCCACCATTGCTTTGGCACCATTAGCACAAATGTCAACAAAGTGAAAAATGAAAATAAGAGCTTAGTATTATTTTGAAAGTAGTTTTGACCTTGCCAATCCCCTTAGGTACACCCAGGGTTTTGCTGATCATGCTTTAACTAACAATGTACCAGGTGCACCGGTTAATAATGCGGATTTCTTTCAATAGATGGAGTTACACATATGTTGATATATATGCGATTTGATATGTATGCTATTTTGTTGTATTGACAACAAGCTTCAAAACTTCATATGTCACATTTTCTGAAGGTGTTAACATCATAGATATTTTTACGCTTAAAAATGTCAAATTTTGTGCCAAGAAAAGAGCATTTGCGAGAAGTTTTAATTCATTATTTTGAAGAAAAGTTCCTCTTAAAGTTATCGTATACTTCGGGAAGCTTATGGTGAACATGCTCCATCTCAAGATACTTGTGAACGCTGGTTTAAATGCTTTAAAAGTGATGATTTCTATGTGAAAAACAAAGAATGTCCAAGTTAATTTGAACCATGCTTTGATCATAAAACGACCAGAATGGGCCAGAAGATACGGCAAAGTAATTTTGCTTCATGATAACACACCATCACATACTTCTAAACCAGTTAAAGGCACATTAAAAGATCTTGCCTGGGAAGTATTAACCCACCCGCTGTATTCAATGAACCTTGCTCCTTCAGATTATCACTTGTTCCGATCGATGGCACATGCGTTTTCCGAGCAGCACTTCAAAACATACGAAGAAGTGGAAAATTGGGTCTCTGAATAGTTTGCCTCAAAACAAGAAAAGTTCTATTGAGATAGTATCCACATATTACCTGAAAGATAGGGGAAATGTGTAGCTAGCGATGGACATTACTTTGACTAAAGCACTTTTGATGTTTCTCTTGAAATTATCGGGTTTTCTTTGATTACAAAATCTGCATTATTAACCGGTACACCTGGTACATCAGGCATGTTAAACTCGTGGCCTGCGGGCCACATGCCTCATTTATTTGTCCCCTGTTAGCCTTTGAGTTTGACATGCTTGATGTAGATGTTGCCTTCAAAAGGTTTGGTTGTGAAGGGAAGTAGAGATGATGGTAGCTATTGTGAGATGCTTCAGAATAAGGTGAGACTTTTGGCTTCTGCTTGATTGTGTTCTAGCATCCCTAGCTCATGTTTCCAAGATATTCTGTTTGCTCCAGTTAATCATCAATGTTCCGTTTTGGGCAGAATTTTCAGACAAGGCCATTGGCCCAACTGCTTAACACTGAGTTGCCTTCCTTTAATTGACGGTCCCTGGGGTAGTCAGGGGGTCAGAATGTAGCTATAGTTTCAAAAGGAACTGCCTTGACCTCTCCTGGTGTCTGTCAATATCTCTCAGAAAGGGAATGCAGCACATGGCAGACCTTCAATTGACTTGTGAGATCCTGCACACTCATTTTTACAAATTTAGCAACTAAGGGCCAATGGGGTTCAGTAATCAGCCTAAGGCCATGCGGAGGTCAAGGTACTGACATTCTAACCCAAGCTTATTTAAAGCTTTCCTGATGTGATCTTTGATAAACAGAGCTGAACATAAACAGGTTACTGAGCTAAAAGAGGTGTTGGCCACATAAAGTTGATGCAAGTTGCTAGTCTCTATTAGTGTTTACTGATTGATAAAACTATGGCAAATGGCTTAGAACTTCAAGTCCATACATCAAATGGATTCCATTAAAATGAAAGTTAAGAAGACATCATCTGAAGATATAGCAATAATGCCTAGCTAATTTGGTAATTATCAGAATTTCATTAGTTCAATTTAGCTCCATATTGAGCTCCAGGTAAAAATTAAAGCAGGAATCATGAATCGTTACATGTCTTTTACCTAGCAGATAGCTTCTATTCAATTCAGTATTATTTAATGGTGGGCAAAGACTGGATTAGGAGCTAGGTAATGCAACATACCCTCCTTTTGGGGGAAGAGATGCATAAAGATTTCTTCATTCTGTATATATTTATTAAGTGCTTATTTTATGCAAAACACTATCAAAGGTCATAGTTATATGTGTGAGAGGGTTGTTTCTTTGGCTGGATTTAGAAAGGAGCTTATTGAAGAGAGTCTTCCTAACTGGCTGACTTTTAGAATCGAGGAGCTTTCATTGGTTGGTTGACTAACAAAACATGTTCCCAAGGCAAGTTGTCATTGGTTGATTAAACAGGGTAAACCGAGTCTGGTGGTTAACGTTACCATGGCTCAGATCTCTCTCCCCTCTCCCAATAATGTGGGAACTTATAAATTATTGATTCTAAAATAAATATAGCTCGGCCGGTGTGCTTCAGTTGCTGAGCATCGATACTTATAAATTATTGATTCTAAAATAAATATAGCTCGGTGTGCTTCAATTGCTGAGCATCGATCCAGGATCCAAGAGGTCACAGTTTGATTCCTGGTCAGGGCACATGCCTGGTTTGCAGGCTCGATCCCCAGTAAGGGGTATGCAATGAAGGTTTCTTTCTCATCAATGTTTCTAGCTCTCTATCCCTTTCTCTTCCCCTCTCTCTCTCTCAAAAATATCAATAAAATAAATATAACAACAGAAATAACAATAGTCACATATGTAATCTTAAGCTTCCTAGTAGCCACATTAAAAAAAGGTAAAAAGAAGTGAACTTGGATTTGACAATATATTTTATTTAATCCAATATATTTAAAACATCATCATTTCAACATATAATTAATATAAAAGTAATTGAGATCTTTTACATTCTTCTTTTCATATTAGCCACATTAAAAAAAGCAAAAAAGAAGTGAACTTAGATTTGACAATATATTTTATTTAATCCAATATATTTAAAACATCATCATTTCAACATATAATTAATATAAAAGTAATTGAGATCTTTTACATTCTTCTTTTCATATCAAGTCTTTAGAATCTCATGTGTGTTTTATACTTACAGCACATCTCAATTCAGACTAGCCATGTGGAAAGTGCTTTGGTAGTGTCATATGGCTAGTGGCCTCCGTTTTAGACAGTTCAGTTCTATAGTAGCTGCTGGGGACACAAGGATGGAGAAAAAGCTATGCCTGCCCTCCAGGATCTCAGAGTCTCAACTCACCATAGCCACATGGCTACAGTGCTAAGTACAGGACCAGGACTAGAGTGAGGCAAGCAAGCTGTGAACACAAAATTTAAGAACATGCTCACCCTCAGGGTTGTGCAAGTATAGGGTCTGCTCCAAGAGTAAGCACCTCCTAAATGCTGCACCCTAAACTCCTCATTAGCCTCACCCAAATTCCAGCCCTGCTTGGGAGCCTGATAAAATGGTAGATTCTGGGGCCCCAACCCCAGAGCTGACATTGCAGAAGCTCTCACGTAGGGTCTAGGATCTGGAGTTTCAATAAGCATCCCTAAGCATTCCAGTGCAGGTGCTTAGGATCACCTTTTGAGGAACTCGGCCTCTGCCAACAGCCTCCCATGAGAGTTCCTTTACATCCAGTGGAGTGATTTCTTTCTTTCTGTCTGGTTTTTGGAATAGATGTTGTTGAACTCAACAGTGATCTAGCTGAATTTTTAGGGCATGCTCTGGGATTCTGAAGTCCCTCTTGCAGAAAGCTCCTGTAGTCTGAGTTGCTGGGCTTTTGGCCTGCAGGACCATAGACTAAACCGACAGGCACGCCATGTCATTGTCCACAGGCACATTGACTATTTCAGGGACACAGATATAACAGGCACGTGGCTGCGATGAGAAGTATGGTTGTGGTGGGCAATGAAAGGTGTAGAAGGAGCTGAGTTGTTTGAAATGGAAAAGAGCCCAAATTGAGCCCTGTGTTTACTTTGACTTCTTCACGTTGTGTAGCTTATTGGATGCCATCAAAGGCTCTGTCCTGTCTGGCTGTCTTCACTGTAATCTCTTACCTGATTTTCATGATGCTCAAATAAAAAGAGGCCGCTGTCTATGTACTGCCAGCTTATGGTGCACATATACCTTGGAATTCATGTTGTAGTCGTGTGCTCTGAGATGTGTTTACTCAGGATTGGGAAGCAGGCAAAGAAGAGATTCGTCAGCTTTTCTGTGAACATGTGTATGTTTCCATTTCCAGATTTCCCCCTTGGTATGCTTTCTGCTATCTCCAGCAGCTTCCTTCATCACCGGACAGTTGGTGGATGTAGATGGGGGCCAGTCTCTGTATAATCACATGTTTTATGTACCAGGTGAGCAGTCAAGCAATGAGTGTTCATATTTTCAAAATGTCTTAAGTAGTTACTCAAGAGATGAGAGTTTTCTCTTTAGCACATCAAAATGTGCAACTTGTTTATATTCATGATATGATTTTTAAAGGAAATATTCTTCATCACAAAAATATCTATATATATTTATTTATAGAACTTAGCTTTATATATATTTTAAAAGGTGGGGTTTTTTTGGTATGTGTGTAAGTTGGTAGTATTTGAACCTTGAAAAATATTCTCAATATAAGTATATATGTTTAAGAAAGAGATAGAAAAAAGGCAAGAAGTTGCCATATTATTTTTTTAGATCGAATTCCTCTTAATTCCTCCAGTAAGTGGCTTGTATATCTGAGCAGAAGAATCAGACATGTTAGGTGGAGAGGGGTTATGGTGTTTTACACTATCTTTGGGATATATATTAAATGAAACCATATGAATTTACTGTATTCATTTTTGATGTGTAAAACAGTAGTTTTGTAAGGCTCAACCAAATGTAGATATTACACACAAATGTGTGTGTGTGTGTGTGTGTGTGTGTGTGTCTGTGTCTCATGACTAGACCAGAGAACTTTGGGATTGAAAAGATCCTAAAAAAATCAGTCCAATATCCTAATTTTGCAAATGACAAAACAAATTTATAGAAATTAAAAGGCATATTCAAGCTAATCACTCCCAAAATAAAGAAAAAGATATAAAATTCAAATGTATTCGAACTGTTGCTCAAGATAGTTGACTAAGTGGCTACTAGCAAACTAAAATGTGGTTGATGTAATGCATTTGTCTTTGAGTTTCATATCAGGGACCCAGGTTCAACCTACTTTTTCATGTGCTAACAGTCTGATCAAGGGTAAAGACCTTTGCATTGATAAATGATTAGTATGGGACTGTAATATTACTTATTATTTTCCCTTCCCAGATATATTTCTTTACAAATAGCATCAATGGAAATGGACTTTGGTTTTAAGGGTCTCAGTTATGAACACAGAAATGCCTACATGGTTATACGGTATTGTTTTCTGATAGTATTTAACGTAGCAAGAGTGGAAGAGATCTTTCCACTTCCCTCACCAGAGTTGAGTCAGTAGTATTTGTTAAGGTGAGTTGCACTGTTTTTCCTATATAAAGGGAAAGAACTCCAGGTGGCTGCTTCCCCAGGCCTCCAGTGTCATGATTTTCTTTTGTAATTCTAACACTGTTTTTTATCATTACAAAAACATTTTTTAGGGTTTTAGTATTTTTTATTGATTTCAGGGAGGAAGGGAGAGGGAGAGAGAGAAAGAAACATCAATGATGAGAGAGAATCACTGATCAGCTGTATCCTGCATGCCCCCTATGGGGATTGAGCCTGAAACCCCGGGCATGTGCCCTGACTGGGAATCGAACTGTGACCTCCTGGTTCATAGGTCCACGCTCAACCACTGAGCCACACGGGCTGAGCCATTCTTTTAAGGTGTTTAAGGAAAGCAGTCATATCTATGTTTAAAGAATATACTCCCCCAAAATTATGAGTAGGAATACTTAGCCTCTCCCTGTAGTGTTTTCTTTAAGGTTGCCAGCCCTGGTGAGAATGCCTGTGATGGAAACCTGGCTATACCCTTATTAGCTATATGACCTTGGAAAAATTAATTTCTGTAAGCCTCCACTTTCATTTCCATCAGGTGGGTTCACTTATAGTATTGATTTTGTAAGCTGTTGGGAGGATCAAGTTAGATAATGTATATTTAAAGCCCTGGGTCAGATACATGCTTTCAGGTGCAACTCAAGCTGGCTTGAGCTGTAAAAGAATTTGTTGCCTTGAATAACTGAGAAGCAGGTGAGACGTGACTCAGCAGCTCAGTGATCTCACCAAGGGCATTTTTTCCCCCTTACTTATGTTTTTGCTTCTATGATGTTGGCTGTAAGACTAACTCTCCTGGTTGCAGGATGGCTGCCTGCTGCTCCTACAGCTTCATGCTTCTTTTTTCACATTCATCTGGACAGAGAGAGCGTAGGGAAGGGAATGACTTTCTTTCAACATTTCTAACAAAATTCTGAGGTCTACTCTGCTTTGGACCAGTTTATGCAAATGACCATCCCCAGTGAATAATAACGGTCATGGGAATGGAGTGCATTGGTTGACTTAGATCAGTCAGTCATCAGTCAGTGGTCTAAGTGTGGTCACTTCCGCAGAACCTGATGGAATTGTAAGTGTAAACAGGCTATTGGAAAGAGGAGATGAGGGACTGGATGCTGGGGAGGCAACTAGATGTGCCTGGTACAAAGTAAGCACGTTGTTTTAAAATCATTATTAAGGAAGTAATATTTATTGAATGTCTATAGTATGCCAAGTGCTGTACATAGGGTGTCACATTTAATTCTCACAATTTGAAAAGATAGATGTGGTTACCCCCTTTAATAGATGAGAAAACCGAGGCTCCGAAAGAGTAATTTTTCCCAATTCTGAAAAGCTAGTAAGTGGCAGAGCTGAGACTCAAACCCAGGATTTTCTCAAAACCTGTGCTACTTGTCCTAATAATTTCTTTTTTCTTTCTGAGAAAAGGGGCAAACTAGGGAAAATAACAAGAGGGTTTGATGGAAACTGGGAGGACTAATAAGGTTAATAGATTTGCAAGTGACATGAGGTTTTCCACTTACTTAACAGATCATGACAACTGGCCGGAGGGAACAGGGGACCTTTCTGTTGTCAAAAGGATGAAAGAGTCTTTAAAGCTTAAAGCCAATCTCTAAACTAAAGAAAGAAGGAGGTGTCTTTTGTCCCAAAATGCCTTAACATCTTAAGAATGCATTTTTGCACTTTATAGGAGCATGTAATTTGTATAGAAAAATCACTTTGTGTTTTTTTTAATGTTTTCAATTTTGTCTATGCAAAACTATTCCTGAAATAAATGCATTTTTAAGTCCCAACTAATACCATTTAACCTGTAGTTTTTTTTAAAATTAAGAATGGAAATCAACATACTTTATGATTATACTTTGAATTCTAAGAAAGGTATTTGAAGAGTGGAATACTTTCTAATTAATAATAGAGATATCATGATCTCCTAAAAGGTTTACTTGTAATAAATCTAAATTGCGGCACCATTGTGATTCCAACAACTGGAGTTATATAGTGACTAATTTTACCTGGCAAACACTTTTGAACCAATAAAGCTTTATGGTAACTATTGATGTGTGGTTTGTTTTCATGAAGTCTAATTTCTATAAACCTTCTTAACGCAAAAGATTGGCTAGTGGGAAGTAAAGAGGACTTTAAAGAACATGGAAATAGCAGTTACCAGGAACAGCTACTAAGCTACTGTTACTGAGATGAAGAACCCTACTCCCCACTCCCCACCTCCCAGCTGACATCCAAACCTTGTTGGGAGGGCCAGGGCTGGCCCACCTGATGGCTGGGCAATCACTGTGGTGTTCTGCTGGTGGAACTTGCTGGAAACCTGCCCTCTGGAACTTGCCCGAGATAATCCACCATCTCGGGTGCCAGGGGAAACTTCACGGGAGGTGTCTCATCAGAGGCTCTGCTACACAACTACCTGAGGGAGGTGCCAGGGACACTGCTGCTGCTGCTGGCTGCCCTGCACCACCACCAAGGCCTGCAGACTGGAGTCTGGAGAGGAAAGCCTTGACCTCCTACAGTGTCTCTCCATTGCCCTCTCCTGACAAAGCTCAGTGTCAGCTGGCAAAGGAAAAACTAAAGGGCCCAGATCCATTGTGACACAGCTGAGAAGCAATGAACCTATAACCAGCCCACTTGGGGCCTTGGCGTCAAGCAGCCTGTCACTTTCCTTAAGGAACGGTGCCACATCGGGGCTCAGCGTTGGTCTCTACGTGGACAAGGTGCACATTTAGAGGCAGCTCCAACTGCATAGGCTTTGCTAAGTGGGAGTCCATGATGTTGGGCCTGTTTGCAGTTTTCCTTCACTCTTGTGCCCATAGGCCAGTTCTGTGGTGGCAGCCGATGGGGGCTGGGGAGCACCAACTGACTGAGTCATCTGGTCTCCTTGGTGTTCTGTGCCTCTTCTGGGGGCATGAATGTGTGAGACAAAAATAGCACTTTGTGCCCACTCCTCAGTGTTTTGTCCACATGCTTCTGGCCCAGGCCTCCTCGTTTCCAACTTTTCTGTCCTTTTCCTTTTAGGTGCCTGGCTAAACCACAGGGCCGTGGGCCATCTGTATATATTCTCACTTAGGGCTATTTTTCTTTCCAGCGTGAATACAGGTTGCACTGCCAACAGATTGCTTATTAGACAGATTTTCCATCCACTGCCTCACAGGGCTTCCCCTGATTACAGCTGTAGTGAAGTTCTGACAACTGTGAAGGAAGAATTTCAGACCAGAACACAGTCCAGGAAAGGGTCAACCAGGCAGATGGGAAGTCCTTGAGCCAGTCACCCATTGGTTGGCCCCATGGCTCACAGGAATAGGCCTGAGTTAACAACTTGGCTGTGTTCAGTTTTTGGCTGGGAGCATTCCGAGGGCAAATGCACTGGTGGATCCAAAGCTGTCAGTCACTGTGCATTTTCATGGCTGCCACATGACTATATCCTATAACTGTTTTGGCCCCATTTACTTTTAACACTATCCAGGGACTTGGCACAAAAGAGTGTCACCTTGTGTCTGGACACAAGTGCCTACTTGAGATTCCAAGACTTAGCTGCAAAGCTTCATCTTGAACTTTTATTTTTGCTCTTAGTGTTTCTTCCTTGTTTACAAGAGTTTCACTTCACTGAAGTAGCTGCCTGAATAAGATCAACTAGCAGAAAGATTCAAACCCATTTTCAAAAAAGGTGTATTGGATCAAAAGCTAGTGATTATCTAGCTCTTGCCTTAAGATAGGTATGCATAGTTTGAATCTTGTCTTGTGGACAAGGCTAGTTATGGTTTGTCTGATAACCAAGGCTCTCTGTTGGTTAGTGGCAGTTTTCACCCACCACATAGAGTGAGAAGCATGTGTGCACTCTGCCCTAGTGGGAGTCAGATTGTGGGGACCTGCCAAGTCCTAATGCTGTCGATGTCAACACTGCATTCCTGGGGGACGTCTCCCCATGTCTAGCAAGGCTCTCTGACCTGTTTCCATCTGTAGCCTCCAAACTTGCTCTCCTTGAAGTTGTCAGTGCCCTACAAGGAAAGACCTTGGAGACCCCTTCTGATTGAGATCACTTTGCTGAGGTTACTAACAAGCCTTTATGCTTACTGCTCCTTGCATGCTTATTTTGGCCTTCAGCATACAGCCACACTTCTGCCATAAGACACACTTCTGCTTATTAAGCCCCCTTGCTTACTTTGGCTTTCTCTGTCCATTTCTATAGAGCTATTGGTAGACTCTCCCTTTCCATAAGTAATAGATTTTAGAGTCTGCTATCTGTGTTGAAATCCCAGCTTCTACCACTTACTCGCTTTTATAACAGCTTTGAGAAACAATTGAGGAATTTAAATATGGGTTGCATATGAGTAGATAATATTTAAAAATTACTGGTCATTTTGTTAGATGTGATAATAGCATGGCAGTTACTTTTTATAAAAGTTTCTTACCCATCAGGGAAGAAATGTTGGGATTTGCTTTCAAATACTTCAGTTTAAAAAACAAGTCAGGGAGAGGAAGGGAGCAAGAGAACTGAGAGTGGAAACATGGTAATAGTCGTTTAAGCAGCGTGACATCTATCATACATTATATGGTTGATTCTACTATTCTCTTGAGTAAGTTTGGAAATTCCCCAGGTAAAAAAAACTATTAAAATTAAAATGGTCTTGTTACTTAACTTAGAGGGTAATATGGGAAAGAGTTAGCTGATTATACATAAAGGTTATTCGGGAGAAACATGATGTGTTTCCACTGGATGTCAATAGTTTTGGGAGGGTCCACGGGTGTGGGAGACCAGGTTCCAAATGGTGGTGATACTGTTGTAATTAGCTAGTTTTTAATAATAGGAAAGGAGCCAAAGGGGAAACCAGACATTGTAAGCACGGCCATTTGAGCAGCTTCACCAGGGAGATCCTTACTTTCTTCTTTTTTTATGTGACAAAAATATATGTAACAAAAATTTGCCATTTCATCAAGCAATTTTTAATTGTTTGTTTGGAGTGTGCCTTTCCAAATAGATAACCATTTTGGAGGTTGTTACATGGGATCTCTGAACATCAGTTTGGTATCAACTGACTTTTAAGTCTGTATGAATCACAACACTTCAAATTCTTTTTGCAAAAAAATATTCTTTTCTTCTAAACAGAAATTCCCTCCACATTTAAATGAATTGCTCGTACTCATACATAATTTTTGTATCTACTACTAGAGTATTCAGTGTCTACTACTTGCATAGGATGCTCAATTTTACATACAAATAGTTTTACCTGTAAATTTACTATGAGGGCACAGTAACAACATTTTGATAATTTCTCAGAAGGAGGGCTCCAACAGTGGAAAGTTAATTTTAACAGAACAGACTGCTTCCAAGAAAAGAGTGCTTTTTTATCCATTTTTAAAAAAATGTGCAGTTGACCTTCCTTCAGACACAGCCCACTATGGATGCTCTGCTGACACCGGCCTCCCTCATTCCTGTTTCGTCTTTGTTCCGGCTTCTCCCCATTCCCTGCTCCTCACACCAACTTCTACTTCGCCTCCATTACTAGGCAGAACAATATAGTTCTCTTCTCTCCCTCTTAGAGCCCATTTATCAGAGGGAATGTTCACCAAAGACAGTTCTCCCTTTGGGGAATTGTGCTCCCACCTTTTAATTTATGTCATTGAGCTCTTTCCAAGACAGGTTTATTTAAGTAGATAAGCAGCAAAATAAATAATAAAATTTGTAAACAAAAACTTTTTTATTTAGATTATTTATTTAGATTACTGTTTTACATAAGTTAAGAAATATATGTAATGCCCTATGCACTTTTCCATGAATTTCAGGCTAATAAAATCAAGTAGCAATGCTTAATAAGGTCAAATGAAATAGTAAAATGATCATTACGTGGTGCCTGCTAGCCAAGAGAAGAGAGGACTTATAGCTCAACTTAGAAGTGCCCTAACAGGTCGAGTGTAGCCCAGAGCCAGTTTAAACCTTCCATTTGAATATAGCTGATGGCCCTTTAAGATCTAAGTCTGCGCAGGTATTGTAGCTGCAACCACTTTCCCTCTGTAGAGTGACAGCTTTCTAACCAATGTCAGATCCTTCTCTGAAAAATCTGCAGTTCATTTACAATGGATTTCCACGAGGGGGCAGCGTGAAGAACCACAGGAGAATTTGTTTACTATAACTTATGGGGAACTTTACCTGGAGTTTCAGTTGTATAGAAAGTTGCAGGGTTCTGGTTTGTTTATGTCTCTGTGAGTATTATGGAGAAAAAAGTAATATAAGTAAATGGCAAAAATCAAACACCAATGGCATATGTTTGGTTATCTATTAACACTGAGCTTGGTAGGATCTGGGTTTAAAGTTGGGGCAAACCTTTGGCTTTTCGCAGAAAATATGAACAGTGTTCATGTATTTTTTAAAATATCATCGTTTTTGATGCGTGTCTTCTATTTTGTAACTTAGTATCACCTTGCATATAGTCGATGCTTAGTAACGTCTATTAAGTAGAATTTAATTGAATTAGGAATAAGTGTGCTATGATTGATGGGTTCAGGTTTATGTTTAGTTTTAGTTAGGTATAATATGGAGAGACTTTGGAGATTATAGAATACTTGGGATTGTAGGGAGATGGAAAAGATCAGGTTCCAGGTCACATCAGAGAGGCTGTTCTGGGCATCTGAAAAGTGTTTGTTATAGCAGGTTAGCTGTGACAGTAGTTAGATATAGGCATGTAGTTAGATACGGGAATATTGTTAAAGCAGCATAATTAGCTATGAGAGTATAATTAAATATGCAGTATAGTTAAACATGGGAAAGTCAGGGTGAGGTAAGGAAGGGCACATTGTGAGAATCAAAAGGATGGGTACCTTGGGGCACAGATAAATATAGAACATTTCAGTATATAAATTTATATATAAATTTCCAATTTTTTCCCCTGATAGTACTCCTACTATCAGGATGAGTACTGCACATTTTTCATCTTTGTATTCCACAAGAGGTTGAGCACCGTGCCATGCTTATATAGTTGACATTCAATAAATGCTTGTTGAACTAAATAATTTTAGGTGGTCACAGTTGGTTATGTGAGGTGATGG